TTCTAGAAATTTCAAGGCTGCAAGTATGTCTAGAGTGGAATGAAGGAGAAGATAAACTTGTGAGAGAAGGCGATAGAGAGTAGTAGCATTGGAAATGAAGCGTGAGTCATGAAGGACCTTTAACCTAGTCTAGGTCCTTTAATGTGGATAGGCTATCCCTGCATTAACAAAGTATATGTGATAAAAACTCAGTATGTCCAAACTAACTGGATTTGGTCTTATTTCTTAGTGGTCCTACCTCACATTTGTCTTTATAGAACAGTCTGTAAAAACTCACTAGCATTGTCCGAGTTTAGAACCTTCAGCCAGGTTCATTCATATTTACTCCTATGAACCCTCTCATGGATCATTATTTCTACAGAGCTGCCATATAACACTATAGAAAATCATTCTGTTATATTTACCTGGGCAACAATTGATAGAAGCTGGCTATATAATGCAAAGAATTTACTCAGGAGATATTGCTTGAATGAATGGATATGTGAATGAATAAATGAAGATAGAGTCAATTATATAGCACAGGTGGATAATTCCACCTGTAAATAAACTTGTATTGTGAATGTAGACTGTGAGCTACACATTTACTCACAATGTTGAACTGAATATGTTGACTATGGTTTAGTATTGATTGATTGTGCATTATTTTTAAATCTCTTCATATACCATCGAAGTAAGAGAAATTTTTATTTCTTTGCTTTCAAAGACATTCTCTGGGTCTAAGAGGGATATTTACTAAAATATCTGGTTTGACCTTGAGTAGAGTTACTAGTTGAAAAGAAGTACACAGACTTGATCTAAAAAGAAATGGTACCCACTTTTTAGCAGTATATTTACGTTCACAAGTTTCCACAGTGATTTCGTTGTCTTGATACAATCTTCAGCTTCAAATGTCAACTACATATTATACTCTTCATTGGACTTAATCTTCTTTATGGTGGTAATTTGTTTCCATAGCTCTCCTGTAACTAAGATTGCCTGTGGCATTTATTGCTGGCCTATGGGATGTAAATCAGAGTTCCTGGATTTGTGTTTAACCTTTTCTTTAGAGTTTAGAATGACCTCCATAGCATTACAAATGCAGTAAATTAGTCCTAGCATGTGGCTATGAGACATTTGTGAGAATAATTTTTAATCTTCTTTATATTTATTTATCCAATGAAGTAACCATTTTATAAAAACATGAGATAATATGTATTTTAATAGGAAAAGCCAATTTGGGAGCATTTTATTTATTCTTTGATCATCTTTTGCTTATACAAACAAATTCTTCAAATCCTAAACAAACAAGTACATTCATGGGTCTATGGGGTGGCAAAGCATCAATGAAGAATAATTACCAACTTCAGTAGGAAATTAGATAACACTTATTTTAATTGCCCTCTCCATTTAAATCCATTTTCCATTTTTTAATAACTATTATAGCTAATTTAACAAAATCATTGCATATCTAATATAATTTCAGCAGTGTTACTTTATAATTTACTATGTCATCATTTCTCTATTAATCACTTTTGCTATCTTAGAGCTCACAGTGCTACTGGATATTTATTCAATTAAAGTACAGTAAAATGCAGTTAGTATTTGCTAAAGTGTTTTTTTCATTATTGTTGTATTAGGTGTCAGAGGTTTTCATGACAACTTTAAAGGGTAGGTTTTAAAAATTTACTTTATTAGCATATAATAGTTGTATGTGATATTTACACATGTGTTTATATCTAAGTTAAATTTACCCCCTTCATAATTTTTCCCTCATCCCCTCACCTCTTGTTAGAACCATTTCAACAGGTTTCATTATTCTATTTTTATATATGAGTACAAAATATATCACCATATTCACCCTCATTCACCGTTTCCTTATGCTCACCCTCCTACCACCGTTACTTATTCCAGGAAAAGAATTATTTTACCTTCCTGTCCCTCATTTTTTTAAGTGTATATTGATAGACCAAAGGGGTTCACCTTGCTACTTCAAGCCTGTATATATCATGCTTTAATCAAATTAACCCCTCCATCACTTACTCTTTATCACCATGCTCCCCTAATATTCAATAGCTTATGGTACAGTATGTTATATTATATTCATATTTAGATGGGTTGTTTCAATATTTTTCATTCTCTAACATTTTCTTTCCCTCTCCCATCTCCCATAGTCCCCTCAGACAGGCCCACTAATATAATTTTGTTTTCTCTCTCACTATATTTATGCATGTATTTATGTATATATATGAGCATATATGTACTTATATATACATTTAACTTATAGGTCTAGCTTAAACATATGGAGGGAAATGACTTTTTAGCCTGGCTTGCTTTGATTAATATGATGTTCTCCAGTTCCATCCATTTATCTGCCATCAGCATAAATTTCATTCTTCTTTATGGCTAAATAAAACTCCATGTGGGGGAGAGGGAGAGGGCAAGGAAGGGAGGGAGTGGGGGGAATGGGGGAGAAATGATCCAAACATTGTATGCACATATGAATAAAAGAAATAAAAAATTTTTTTAAAACTCCATGTGTATATATTCCACATTTTCTTAATTCATTCATCACTTATGTGGTATCTGGGCTGTTTCCAAAACTTGGCTATTGTGAAAAGTATGACAATAAACTTAGGTGTACAAGTAGCTCTACTGTATCCTGGAGCACATTCTTTTGGGTACATGCCCAGGAGTGGTATTGCTGGATCCTATGGTAGGTCTATTTTTAGTTTTTTGAGGAACCTCCATATTGCTTTCCATAGCAGTTGCACTAATTTACATCCCACCAACAGTGTAGAAGTGTTCCTTTTTTCCCACATCCTCTCCAACATTTGTTGTTGTTTGTGTTATTGATGACAGCCACTTTGACTGGAGTGAGGTGAAATCTCAATGTCGTTTTGATTTGCATTTCCTTTTTGGCCAAGGATATTGAGCATTTCCTCATATGTTTATTGGCCATTTGCACTTCTTCTTTTGAGAATTATCTAGTCAGTTCATTTGCTCATTTATTTAATGGGTTGTTGATTCTTTGAGAGGTTAGTTTTTTGAGCTCCCTGTATATTCTGGTTATTAATCCCTTGTCAGATGTATAGCTGGCAAAGATTTTCTCACATTCTAGGCTGTTTCTTCAGTATGGGGATCATTTTCCTTTGCTGTACAGAAGATTTTTAGTTTCATGTAGTCACATTTGTCGATTCTTTCCCTTAATTACTGAGCTATTAGAGTTTTGTTCATAAAGTTAATACCTATGCCTATGTAGTCCAGTGTGTTCTCTGTTTTTTCCTGGATTAATTTCATCATTTCAGATCTTTTTTATTTTCAATTTTTATTGTTTTGCTGAGGGATTGTGGCATTTACAAAAGTTCTTGCAACATATCAAATATATCATACTTGAATTCACCCTTTCCACCATTCTCCTTTATCCACCTCCCTCCATTCCTAGGATAGTTTCAACAGGTCTTATTTTTCCATTTTCATACATGTGTACACAGTATTCGTGCCATATTCACCCTCCTTTTCAGACCTTACATTAAGATCTTTAATCCATTTTGAATTGATGCTAGCACAAGGTGAGAGACTGGAATCTAGCTTCAGTCTTTTGCAGGTGGAAATCCAGTTTTCCCTGCACTATTTGTTGACAAGGCTATCTTTTCTCCAATGCATACTTTGGGCTCTTTTGACAAAATTCAGATGGCTGTAGTTGCATGTGCTTGTGTCAGGGTCTTCTCCTCTATTCCATTGGTTTTCACATCTGGTTTTGTGCCAGTCCCATGCTGCTTTTGTTACTATGGCTTTGTAGTGTAGTTTGAAGTCAGGTATTGTGATGCCTCCAGTGTTGCTCTTTTGGCTCAAGATTGCTTTGGCTATTGGAGATCTTTTGTGCTTCCATATGCGCTTTTAATGTTGACTTTTCTATCTTGGTGAAGAAATGGAATTAGTATTTACTAAAGTGGTGTTTTTTTTATTATCATTGTATTAGGTATTAGAATTTTCATGACAACTTTAAAGTGTGTTTTTTAAAAAATTTCTTGAGTCAAGAAGGTTCCAGAAATTCTGCTTTTAATATCAAATGCCTTTAGTTAATATCTCTAAAATTTTGAGTGATTTTCATATTAATTATCAATCATATTCTGAAAGTGTTTTAATCTTTAAAGATTCTATCAGTCAATCCTTTAAAATTACCTCATAAAGATTTTATTGAATAACTCATTATTATTGTTAACATTCTGTACTTTAACAAAAATAAAAGTCTTGAAAGCCATAACATGGTAAAATTTATCACTCAAAATAGGAAATTTCCATGCTTACGATGATTTAGCATTCTGTCATTTTTAAAGAAAATAATGAAGTGTACAGAGATGACTCACATTTTTGTGTCAATAGCCTCAGTCTCAATCAATAATAGTAAGTACTCAGAAATATGAAAACATAACAATGTGGCCAGAGAAGAAAATATGAAAGGCACCTTCTTTCTGAAATTATGACATAAACAGTGCATGTATCTTCTTCCTGGCTCTTGTCTTAGAAATATCTGTGATTTTTGAATTATTTTATTTTTCATCCTGCAATGTCAAGAGCATCCCAGTCTTTGCTCAATGATTATAAAATTTCTGTTCTCTATGCTAGAGTAATAGAGACAATGAGAATAAGGCCATTCACTCAGCATGAGCAGGACTGTACCTGTTTTCATGGCTCGCCAAGGTCACTTTGTGCCCTTTACTGATCCTTTTCATCACCTGTCACCTATTGTGAACCGGTCAGCTGAAGAACAGTAGCAGTTAGGTGCACAATCTTGAAATACAACAAAACTGAAATTCACATTTGATTGTCTAAAAGATCTTTGCCTCATTAGCAAAACTCAACAAGCCTTCAAATATTTAAAGAACAAACTACATTGAAATAGAATGCTTACTGTTATTTATTGCAGTTATAAAAAATTGACGATCTGTTTTTTTAAAAAAAAAGAACATTGAAATGTGGCTAATTGTGTTTGTTTTCTGTTTTCTGTTCTTGTCCCACAGGTTTAGGCTTCAGTATTGCTGGAGGGGTGGGGAACCAGCACATTCCTGGAGACAACAGCATTTATGTAACGAAAATTATAGATGGTGGAGCTGCACAAAAGGATGGAAGGTTGCAAGTAGGAGACAGACTACTAATGGTGAGTGTGACTCCATGCAAAACTGTGTGTATGTTTATAAAGTTCTTGCTTCCTAGCATGTGGCTGTCTTAATCAGCTCGGCTCAGGCTGCCATGACAAAATATCATGACTGGGTGGCTTACACAACTGAAACTTATTTTCTCTCAGTTTTGGAGTCTGGGAAGCCAAAGGTTGCATTTCTGGTTTTATTATATCCTTGTTTTGCATTTTGTCACCTTCTGGCTGTATCTTCACATGGCTTTCCTATGTGCTCATGCTGACAGAGAGCAGAGGGGGTCTCTCTCTTCTTGTAAGAACACAAGTCCCATTGGATGGGGGCCCTACTCATAACTCATTTAACCTTTATTACCACCTAAATATCCTATTCCAAGTTCAGCCTCATTGGTGGTTAGGGCTTTAACATATAAATTTGGAAGAGGTACAGTTCAATCTCTAGCAGTAACCATGTGCAGAAATACAAAAGAAAGGAAAGTAGATTACAGGGGAAGAGGGTCCAAAAGTACATGTGATTTACTGATATTTTCAACATTTACCATTTTTTTCAATTTTCACCAGTTTTCTTAGATACACATGGCATAGAGATTAGGTGTTCTCCTTTCCTCCTATTAATAAGGGCAACTGCTACTTCCAGACTACTGGAGAGGAAAGTTTTACATAACAAAGGAAGGACATTATTTGGTGTACTATATGTGCATTATCCATGGTCCTTTGTTCAACCAGTGTAGATGGCAATCTCTGACTTCTAAGAATTCATAATCTGAGTTCTGACACATCCCTTCCCCTCAGACAGAGATGCAACTATTTTGTTCACCGGGCTGCCCACACGCTTCACCCACACCAACACATCACCACCTTTTTTGAGCCAAGGAGTCAGATGGCAAACTATGGCAAAATTAATTATAAATAGGACAATATTTGTAGCTATGCTGATAAATTTGCTTCATTTCCATTAACTATTATGCACTGCATCTACAGGATAGTAATCAAATATTGGAAATTCCTAGTAAATAGATCTCAAGAAAGATGAGCATATCCAGTCTTATGTCTGCCCCTGTAAAATAATTCCTCTAATCTGTATCTGCAAGGAGCAGACGCACTTCTCTATCACCCTTGTGAAGAGTTTGGGGAGGATAGATCTATCTAAACAGAAAATTTTCATGATATATGCAAGTTTTGAAGGTTAAATCCCAAAATTTTGTATTTATTTTGCCCACTTCCTTAGGCTTTCCTGGTTTAATCCCTGTGGCTAATGTCATAATTGTTAAGGACCACCATATTGAATTAGCTGAAGACTTCCATAATAATCTTGATAGCCAATGTTTATTTGGTATTTACAATCTCCCACATAAATTTTAAATTGCTTTTTTATAACATATATTTCCTACAACAATGGATTTCATATAAATGAAAGGAAACAGAGATTTACTAATTTGCCCATGTTTACATAGTTAAAAATGGAAAGAACTGAATTTCCGATTGAGTCGATCTGACTTCCATCCATGCTCTTCACCATCAAGAGATACTTCTTCCTGTCCATGGTGTTTGTATTGGGTTCCTTGAATCTGTCAATCAGTTCTTTATTTCTTCCTTTGTTCCTCATTCAGTTATTCATTCTTTTAACAAGTACATGTTACCTACCCACTATGACCCAGGTGATAGCCACTATTCAGAAAAGAACTCTGTCATGAGGAAATGTCAGCCCAAACAGGATAGGTAAAAATTTTTGTACCAATTATGACATTAGTCAAACGTGTAAGCTTAGAGTGTTGTGTTTCTTCACCACCTGAATCCACTACCATTCTCAAGAATTTCATTTTTGAGAAATTCTGAAACTTGTTTGCTTATTTGTTTTTGATATAAAAGTTGATTCTTATGTTATTATACCTTCTGAACTAGAAAAAAAATGTTGTTAGGGTATAAGAACTGAACAAAGTCTCTCTAGAATATAAAGTTTATTGCTTGAAATGTTGACTTGGGAATGAAATGAATTGTGATCATCATCTTCTACATTGAAAAATGAGAGGACAGTTTCATTCTCAAGTAATGACTGTCTTAATGACTAGTTTCACCTTTGACTCATTGTTCTGTAAGAGTTTGGTTATGGGCAAGTGTTCTGGTATTTCTTCAACTGCTACTATTGTAAAATCATGCTAGATGTTGTGTGCTGGTTTCTTGAAGCTGTATTTAAGTTTGTAGCTTCATTTCAAATTCATTAAACAAATCTGGTCCAAATAATTCTATCAAAGGATATTTCAGGCACCACACTATTTTCCTGTTATAATTTTCTTGATATTCATTGTAGATATAATGATTTCAAAAATAGCTGTGGCGTAATTCTTAAGCTTTATGGCATAGTTTAAAAAAATGAACCTTCAACAATAATAGGTCTCTTCTCCCTTATATAACAGAAATATAATTAGTACTTCCAAGGCAACTGGCAAGCTGAATCTGGAAATGAAAAAAAAATGATTTATTTCATGATATTCTGAAAGAAAAATGACCCTACGAGTGAAGGAGAATAAAGAAAAAACCAGTGAAGCCGCCCTAAAAGACCAATTATTTTTCCTTAACCCCAAAATATTTCTTTATGCTCTCTTCTGTCATTCTTTTCTAGTTCCTCGTCCCTTTACTATCCTACAGCCATAACCTCATTTTCTGACCCCACTTCTACTCTCCTCATCCAAAGGAAGTGTAAATGATTTGATTCTCTGATTTTCCAGCTGTACCACACTGCGTATTTTTCCCTAAATATGCTATTCTTTCTAAAGCAAATTGTCTCCCTTCTTAGGAAAAAGTCCTCAGAGTTCTAATAAGTACACAGGTCTAAAATGAAACTCCATTCATTTCCTTAGGCTTTTGTGGCTGTATACCCATAATTCAGGAAGTCTCCAAGCATCAACCCAGGACTGAGAGCACCTTTTTTGAAGTCTTAGTAGTAATAATCCTTTCAGTTTTTCAAATAAAACAGCTATTGTGCTGGCCATTACTGACTCATATCATATATATTGGGTATGGTTTTTTTTCTCAAAGAACTTCTTATGTCTCAGAATTGAAAAGTATCTGTCTTAAATGTCATCTTGTTTCAATAGTATTTGAGTCATGAGAATCCTACAGAAAAGCAACCACATGACATGGTCCCTCTTCTCTGATAGGACTCCTCTGAAGGGTGGAGAACTTAATACCTCCCCAACACTACCCATTACATGCTAACCACCATTCAGATTTTTCCCCTTAAAATTATGTTGAAATGTATTTCCCTATAAATTTCTCCCTTTATTCATAACTCTGTCCCTTAGAAACACACAAGTGAGGATTAATTCCTCTCCCATAAATGTTTCAAAGAATTCTGTATTACCACTTCTCTCAATCTTATAAGATGTTTTACACATTTTTCTACAGTAAATTTTATCACACATTCATTTATCTTTTATAAGTAGAATACACTTAAAATGTCTTTGGAGTCCTTAAAATCTTATTCCCCACTTTTTAAATCCCAGGAAAATTTGTAACATCTGACCTTTCCATTATTCTGCTGTAAGGGAAATTTATCCTGTCTGACACCTTTTTAGTAATCCCCTTAATGTTTCAAATGAGATGACTCTAAAGTTAGACCACTCTGCTGCTTCAAGCATCACCCCAATACATGGTATATGCTGTTTTAGCAAAATAATCTTTAAAAAAATTTTTCCTTACTATATGACACTAGAATTTTGCAGTTTGGGTTTTTGTGTGGGTATGGGTGTGAGAGGGACATTTGATTTTTGTGGGTTATACCAATAACTTAGTTTTGAAATCTCAGACAAAGTAGAATATCTCTTCGCTTGGAATTTCATAGGTCAGACAGATGGTCAAAAGTTAACGACACTGAAGATTTTCAAGTTTTTTCATATATTTTCGGTCAGTTTTTTCTTAAGCTCTACCAAGGTGATGCATAGAGCCAAATATTTTATAGAAATATGATCTTTTTTGCCTTTTCTGCATAATAGCAGAAACTTTGAATCCAGAATCATTTGCCTTTTCTACAAGGATAGCAATAGTTGTTAGTTGTCAAATTACTTGTCACATTGTAATTTAAGGTTTAAAATCTTAGACTATTTTTTTCTGTAACCTCTGCTTGACATTTGAAGAAAAAAATGTCAGTGAGAGAACTTTTACACCTTTTACAGATAATGTGTCCATGTCTTCTTTCCTTAAAGGGAAGTATTAAGCCAGGGGCAAGATAACAAAGTATCAAAGTCAAGTGGAAAGACACTGGACTCAGATGTGGGGAGCAGCATTTTAGTCCTAGGCAGCTGCACTCACTACCAAATCAACCCTGGGCACATCAGGTGCATCTTTGGTCCTTTGTTTTGTTTTGGCCTCTATGACAAAGCAGCATTGCCGTAGATCAGAATTTCTCAAAGTATGTTTTAAAATATTAGTCTTACTCCTGTGTTACATAAAAAGGCTTTGTGGCCAAATAAATTTGAGAAATTCTGCAACTTGTACCCTACCCCTATTGCTGATCCTTAGTAAACTTCAGCATATTAAAAGGTCTGTGAAGTCCTGTAGTCAAGAAAGATTTAAATTATTGAATTATAATTTTCAACCTTATTTAATTATAGAATCAGTTTCTTGGAGAAATGCTTATAACATATCTTCAATTAGAACTTGTTGGAGTGCACATATGAATAAAATAAAATAAAATAAAAATAAAAAAATAAAGAACTTGTTGGAGCATGTTCCCAGTGTGCTATATACAAGAATCTCTTAGTTTTATTGCAAAATTAATATTCTGTGAAAAGGACAACAAGATCAGTAGAAACAATACAGTTTTCTGAATGAGCATTAGTTGTAGGGACTTAAATAGTATTTTGATACATTTATGAAATTCCTGGTTTTATTAAAATACCAATAATAGGAGAAAAGAGCAGAACAGTTTCTGCCTGGAAGCAAGGAGGGTGAGGGGGAAGAGGAAGAGGGCGGGGTATGGGGGTGGGGGGAGAAATGGCCCAAACAAT